TAATGGACTCTGACTGATAAAACCATTTTCTGAATCTTTTCATTTAGTCCATTGGTAAAAGAGTGATGCATTACGTGTTATCCGAGATGTTATTACCATTAAATGTGAGTGTTAAATCTTATTAACCAGGTTCCAATCTGTCCAATGACTTGTTCATGTGGCTATGAGCAACGAATGATTTATTGGCGAAAGACAATCAGAATTGTGGAGTAATAGGTGATCAAACTAGTTAAGCTCATCATAAACATGCATGTTAGTGTAGACCAAATTAGTATTTACATTTATAAGTGGCATTTGTTGATCCAAGTAGTAAAATATGGTTATAAACATAATATCGATAAAATTGTGAGTTGGAAGACCACTTCTACCTATGGATTATGCTGGTGAAAAGGACCAAAAAGTATGACTGATTTATACTCTGCACAACTTGTAAGTAGCAAAATAGGGTCGTGAGCATGAAAAAGGGTAATAGTCATGTTCTGGCACCTTATCATTTGGGAAGTCATGTCAAGACAGTGGATTCAATGTCTCTATGTGAGACATCATGCTGTGAGAACTATCGACATTGGGGCCCTTCCAATATTGTCCCAAGTTGAACAAGAAAATGAAATGGTGAGATTGGAGGCTCTCCATTTTCCTACTTGATGAACTACTTTCTACACCAAATAGTGGAACTTCGCCTAGTCGGCGTTTCTCCACTTCTTCAGCAAAATCTTCTTCTTTATTACACACGCACACACATATACCAGTCTCATAAAACTAAATTGTGTAGGACATTACTTAATATGATTTTTCAAGAATGGATCTTTATGACGGTAGTAGTATTGGATCAGATACGGATCCCTAATTGTTGCTTAGATGATTGTAAAATTCAATTTTGAATTATTTTCACACTGAAGCCTAATAAGAATTTGATTTTTGATATGTTCAATATGTAGATTACACACACAAAGTGCATCATGTTGATCTTATGTTTGGGCAATTTTTTGAAGATTTAAAACAAATATTCATATTGATGATGTAATAATTATATTTTCTTTAAGGGCCTAGTTGAAAATAAAAGTTTTGAGAAGGACTAAATTGCAAAAGAACAATTCTTTTATCATTTTCTCCTCATCTCTTTGAAAAAAAAAGGAGAAAATAAAACAGAAAAAAAAAAAGAATAGATCATCGTCATTTGTACATAATTATGGCCTATGTATGGTATTTAAATTATTAACTAAATAATGATTTGATGATTTCTATGTTTGATTATGAAGATAAAAATGATTACAAAAATACTTATACTTATTCATATGCATCGTAATAAGTTTTGACTAGCATACAAGTTATGACGTTTATTGGACTATTACTTGCTCATATGTCTATTTTTAAAAATTTTCAGATCTTGAGGAGTAGAGACATACTTGAGGGGAATGTTATTATTTAGAAACCTGGACTTGTATAATACTAATATAAAATATTATTATGGATCTACTATAGTGATCTTGTAATTATGTAAATATATTGGTGTTGACTGTGATATAATACATAGTTTTTGGTGGTTATATGATAGTAAAGAACTCTCTGGATTGTACAAGGAATATGTTGCCTATTCAGATTTTGATCATGATATTTTGTTGGATTCCATGAGCTGTTGAAACATAATTGAACATGTTCTGAATGATTAGATTAGAATAGAATTGTTTAGGAGTTGGAATATAATGAATATTCTATGGAGATACTGTCTAGGTTTTAGCAAGAGGCCTTGCATTTCTAAGTTATCATAATATTTTGAAATTCATTTCTCAACCCATAAACTCATTGGAAAATACTCCAATGATTTTTTTTTTCCAAAGCGAAAAATAACACACACACACACACAATTATTTATTTTATTTTGTCCAATGCATGTAGGAGTATGCATTGATGTCCTACATACACTTGTATTTGATTACATATATATGTATATATAGTTGTGCTTTGCCCAAGTTATTGTTGTTTTTCATGAACAAGGTTGTAAAATTCTGAGGTATATCTATGAATTATCTTTTAATCTTTTTTTGTCATACAAGAATTGGAGTACATGATTAGAATCTAGTGCTTGATAGTGTTCATATGGAGCTTGGAAATGGATCTGGCGTTCACATTTGATTCCTCCAAGTCCTTGTTGACTCCAGAACATATATGTGGATCCCAGCACTTATCATCTCGGAAAGAAGACAAATTGCAATTGATGTCGGGGAGAGAGAGGAATGGCACAACACACATCCCATGCCAACAATACGACTTGTAGCTGTCTTTGGTGGTGAACTCCTCCTCACCACACCAAATTTTGAGATCTATCCTTGGATAAGATCTTTACATTTATTAGTGTTCTTAATAAACTTGTATTGGTGAAGCTGGATTGCTAACATTTTCTCAAACCAAAGAGAGGAATTAGCAAATACATGATCTTGGCTATAACTTCGTCACATTTGAGGCCACTTTAGATGGTGACAAGATGAACGCTTTGTTTGTGGCCATCACTTACGCTCACACCTACTTGTTGGATGTCGGAGTCAATCATTTTTTGTTCACGTTTCAATCGATTTGGCCCAAAATTTTATGAAACCATTACTTGAAGAAAGGTAAATTTAGTAAGCCATGGTAATTGTTGTTTTCTCATGTTTAAGCTGATGGCATTATCATCCAAATACTACCACCATCTTTGAGCTCAGAGAACAAAATCTGGCCACCTCTACTCCTTTGTCATGTCTTGTTTGGCATAGTACACAATTTATTCTTTCACGTTTTCCATTATTTGATTCTTTTAATAATTAAGATAATAAGAGAGGGAGAAAGAATCGAATTAACAAATAAGTGTATGAATGCTACGGGGATCTTTGACAAGTTAACACACACATATTTGTTTGAGTGACACTTTCCTTTTTGTAAGTCAATACATAAATGTAAATGACCACAATATCGTAGAGAGAGAGAGAGAGAGAGAGAGAGAGAGAGCAACTCTTCCCTCGAAAAGAGGGAATATAGTTATACCTTCACTAGCAATTTCTTACTTAACTTTCATGATTTATCAATTTGACTAGTGAGATTGTAGCATCAATGTTTATGCATTGACGCTAGAACATGCATTGTAGTGGAGATAGTGTTACCATATTGAGTGCGTATGCCTTGCATCAAGAAAGAGATCAGCTACTTTGATTTGCATGGTGAAATAATGATCCTACTATTCAATCAAATAGAGCCAAGAAATTATTGGTCTTTCATGTGACAAAAGTCCTCAATAGCTTCAAAGGGTCACTTTCTTCAGAATTCCCTGAAATAACATCCGATGGTGAAGACAAAGATTCTCATTCTGATCGCTGACAGATATCCCTTCGAGCATGAAAGTTCTCTAGTGATAGTGCATGATTGAGATTGATGTAGATTTTAAGTGGATAAATGAAGGAACAAAGACATACAGTTTTGGATTTTTAATTGATTATTGAAAGCGAGCCAACCTTTAATTTCAATTTAATTAATTATTGAAGGAACAAAGCCATATGGTTTGGACATCATTACGATTTGAAGGCTTTTAATCTTCGGTTTGTGTTGTGAAGCTAACACTTCAATTTCTTATCATTTAGAAGATAGTGTTCGGCCATCTTTTTTCGCACAACATTTTCCAATGCATACATACGTAGCTGTGCCGATAGCATATTTCTATCGACTGGGATCTAATGAGCCCTCATCAAATGCATTGCTCAGTGTCCACTCACTGAGAGAGAGAGAGAGAGAGAGAGAGCGATCACTTGATGCAGTGATAGGCTAAAAAGCCTCCTCCTAACCCTACTGCTAATGAAGACGCAGGTGGCATCGTTCATGCAGAGTACGCACGGAGCGCAGAAAGCGAGCACCGTCGGCCTGCTTCGCAATTACTCCGCACCAGCGCGGGGCGCAGAAGCATTCCAGCATCGCTCTGCACGAGCACATGTGCAACACCCATCATCATCCACCTCACGAGATAATCACAGCATCAAAGAAAAGAAAAGAAAAGAAAGTTTCAGCTCAGATCTATGCACGGTTTTCTGTACTCAGCATGGTAAAGAGCCTTGATTCTGCTCATGAGAGTGTGGACCGACACCCAAAACCAAGCAGAAGAGAAGAACTTCCCAGGGTAAAGAAAAGTGGAGAACAGATGCACCATGAACATACACTCCCTCCATTGGGGGTGAGCAAGTGTGCTGCAGGCATCTGTTCTTGGCTGTCTCATCAACTCACCCTTTCCCAAGATGGGAGAAAGTGAAGCCTGGATCCATATCCATTAAAGCTGCTTGACCAAGCACACCACCGCCCCTTCCGCAGAGCCTACGGGGTGGGGTTTGAGAGATCAGAAGGCTATGATGGAGACAAAAGGCGTGATTACACGAAGAGGGAGAGGGTGAGGGGGTTTGTCCTTTCTTTTACCCCTATGGGAAACCGAGGAACCGTCACATCACTTCCCGCACTCGGTGGCCCCTCAAAGACAATGACAACTGATCCCCTCCACATTTCTGCTCATCTTCTCGCGATATGTTGCGCTTCTGCATGCCTCGTGGCATGTCCACGAGCCAAACAAAGTCGGGGGGGTTTGGAAGTCCTTGAAGCTTTGCTCTGCAACGGGGACTGATGCAGGCTGGTATAGGCATCCGATCATTTCCGCAAGTCTCCTCGATACATTTGCGTTGCTTGATGCAAGACGACGCAGCTTCTGAAACTAGATCGTACTCTTCCTCGTTGGATGTATCTTTTCTGGATACGGGCGAATCTTGGAGGGCCATCATATCCCTTAATCGAACCTTGTTCTGTTGATCCACCTCCGCCTATGTAATCATGTAGATGTAGAGGGAGATAAAAAGCACAAGGAAGGCGAGGTCAAAGTCTAAGCTCTGTTATAGAGATCTGGCGCTAAAGGCACGCTAAACACCATCCCAAGATAACACGAGTAAAACATAATAGGATGACAAATAGCTTGTTGTTCCCAAGTTGGGGTGGCGGGGCCGTACGTCCCATGGGTGGGGTTCCCCCGGGCATTATTGAGAGAATAGGAACCCTAAGACATGGCGCATGCCCACTACTCCTGTGAGCAGCTCTTGGGCACGGGAGAGGAGGAGGCCGATCTCCTCCCCGCCTCCTCCATCTTAGCTTGTCTCTTCTTCTTGCTCATGGATCTGGTACCTCCCACCGATCGCCTGTGCTACGTGCGCTGCACCTACTGCAACACTGTTCTTGCGGTAATTCCTTAAGAGTCTAAGATTAAAGAGTGTGTGGCCAACCGTGGTGCTTTAGAGTCACAGGAAAGATGCACCCATGAGAAGGAACATCCTCCTCAGCCAATATGATCTTGCTCTCTGAGCAAGGTTCTCGGTGGAGGCTGCTCCAGATCATGTTCTCTTCTTCAGCTTATTTTGCCTTACCTTTCTGTTCACTTTTGATCCCTTAACCATAGATGATGTTTGAGAAGATCCAATCGAAAGTGCTATTTTGCTTTGCACTTCTTCCGCTGTTATAATGTTCATGATGATGTTACCAGAGAAAGTTCCTGATGTCTTCTAGGGTTTTCTTCTATAGCCTCTCTGTTCAGGGGAGATCCAGTTGTTTACATTCATGAGGAAGCTAGAAACGATAGCTTCCTCCAAAATCGGAGGTCAGGGGTTGCATGAATCCCTGACAGCATATATTTCAGGCAGATAATAGGAAGCCCCCTCCTGAGTTTGAGCATTCTTCTTTTCCTTGTGAGGGCTGCCTTTGATGTCTACTCCATCGGTCCATCACCTTTCCCTTTACCAAAACTAAGAGATCTTCTTTGGCCAAAGAGTGCTCCTATTTCTATTTACGGTCTCTCGGAAAAGGAAACCTATAGAAGAGTTCTTCCCATAGACAGATCTGTGAAAAGAATGTTGGATCACACGCCGATCTTGAATGGTAACAGACCTCTCCCTTGGCTGCAGGTTGGCGTCCCTTGCAAGCGGGTGATGGACACGGTAACCGTGAAATGTGGTCACTGCAGCCATCTCTCCTTTCTGAGCCCCAGAGCCACGGTGCAGTCCCTTACTCCCACCGATCACCGGATGGGCCTTCAGGTTTCAATTTCTTGTCTACTGAATCCATCAGATGTCTAGCACTTATATCACAAGATTCGTACATAGACTAGGATAATTCTAATACTCAATCAGATTCTTGTTCCTATGGCTTTCTTCGATTTGTTGTTGGCAGAAAAAGACAACCTGGATCATCTTTTCCTTTTTCTCTCGTCTCTCTCTTTCAAGGCTACATGTTCGGTGCTAGCTTTTAGGCTCACAAGTAGATCTTGAAAGAAGAGAAGAGTGGGAGAGTACATTGCATACATGAAACTGATCTTTGTTTTGAATTAGGGTCCTTGCAGTGATTGCTTGAGAGGCCAACCTTCACCTCCATCATCGTCATCGAATTCAAGTGAACAAATGATCCAGAAACCGCGATTTGTCATGAAACGTAAGTCTTTTTTACCTCCGCATTTTCGTGTTTCTTTTTCTGCTATTGGGAGTTCTCCATTTAAGAAATCTTGGTTGAATTCTTGATGACAGCTCCGGAGAAGAAACACAGGATGCCTTCGGCTTACAATCGATTCATGAAGTAAGAACTAACTGAACATGATATCTTCTGATTCGGTTTCTTTGTTGCATATCATGAATGAGCAGCATTATCATCTGATTCGATCTGACCGTAGACATCACCATCACCAGCAAAATCCTCATACGTTTTAGTAGATGAGATGTGAATGAAACCGCAGACTGCTGTGATATCGTCAACTAACATCATCAAATCCTTCATCAAAATATATGATGTCCGTAAAGCATGAAATAAAATAGCAGAACACCTTTTCTTTCGGAAACAATACAGCACGACACCTACCAATAGGTATAAAAGAAGTTCATGCACGCATGCATCATAGCCTTTCTGTCCTGTTTGATGCACGTCTGAGCCATGTAGCAGATCCATCCTTTATCGATGCAACCTACTTTGATGCACACAAACTCCTAAGCCGGAGTAAATCTGAAACAGAAAATGTGTACTGCCAATTTGGAAGATCTACTTCTGCTGCCAAAGCATGATTTCAACCATTATTGCCATGCTAATCATTTCTTTCAAGAATCTTAAATCTTACTGTGGATTATCTTAGTCTGAGCAATGCGAAATGTTGCATCATAGTAGATGACCTCAGGAGTTGGTGTTGCTCTCCTTACAAGTCAAACGTTGAAGGAATGAAACCACAGTCATAAAGACATTTGGAAGAAGACATTAATCATTTGGGAAAGGATATGCATGCAATCTCACCCTACAACCGGAGACAAAAAAACATTGGCTGTTAGTAAATCAAATACGTCGATGAGTTACAGACACAGCAAATAAAAACTATTAGGAGACCTAAACAATAGAAAGAAAATCTAATACTGCCTTCCTTGTTTCATATTCAGATTCTATGTAGGTTTGACATAAGCTTCCTAAAAGCATAAGATTCATATCTAGACATGATATAAATCTGATAGATTAAACTGATCTTAAAAAGTTACTCGACACAAGGCAATGCGCAATTTCCTGACTCTATGATTGGAACTGCAGTCAAAAACTAGCCAAGAACTTGAATATATTGTTGCTTCAGTTTAAATCCAGAAAATACATTACTCAGAAACCAAACCATGGCAGGGAGGAAATACAACGAATCAAGGCAGCTAAACCTGATATCCCGCACCGAGAAGCTTTTAGCATGGCTTCGAAGAACGTAAGTGATATCACCAACAACCTCCTTCTGAAGAGATTAATAATGGCAATGTCTTTATGTGCTTCTTGTAACATGAATCGAAGTGGGCCAAGTGTGATCCTCGTTGCTCAACTACTATTTCGACCTCCTCCGATAACAGTAGTGGTAAATCCTATCACTCCTGTGATCATTTACCAGTCGAAAGTGGTTTGTTCCCTGATTAATTCTGTGTCATCTTCTTTCCAGGAAAGAGTCAATTGCCCTAGAACGGAGAACTCCAAATTCTGCAAGCAAATGGAGCAGAAGAATTAGGTTTCCAACTGTGACTCGGAGCTCCTACTATTTCCTAGTGATGCGCTTGTGGTGTTAACTTGTGTTAGATCTTGTCCTCTCTCTACAATGACATCTCTAATGCTGTGGTTTTCCTGGTTAAGATCCATGCATTGCAGGCGAAGAGGGAGTCATAAATGTGGCTCATATATGAGCTGTCAAGATCTAGAACTAATTAGTGAGGGCACAGTGAGAGAGATCTCAAGTAAGAGGACTGCCCTCGTACTTCTGAAGTTAATAAGATTCGCGACAGATCAATTGATGTAGATAAGCTTTTGACTGAAGGAGGACTAGAATCCATGTCAAATATATTGATGCAACTGTATGGTTTACATGAATTCAAAATTACTTGCTCTTCATCACCAGGATTTGACAATGCTTGGAAAGACGACTGATGAAACTCCTCCAAGGTTTGTCAGCAGGTATGTGCGCATGTCTTTTATGCCTTTTGAACAGAACTTTTTATTTCAAGCATATCAAAATGAACTCGTAAAAATAGTTTGAGTATCAGATTTTGTTGAGATGGTGGCATTTCATATCAAGTTTATTGTTTCAGTCATGCCATTGGGAAAAGCATTTTAAAGGTTTATCATGTCATACTAGATTCTTAATGCAAGCAATATATCTGCAGATAGTCCACATCTCTCATGTTTGATTGGGTGCAGCTTCCGAGTTTCTATTTGGATAGCCATCTCAACATATGATATATATATATATATATATAAGTGGAAGTTGTTATTTTATCAAAAAGAATTTACGTATATCCTGTCCGACCATTTTGAAGTCCAAAATACCCTTAGCATCTATGATAGATCCTTCGTTAGCAGATAAGATACCATTCCAAGTTGGGAAGGTAGTGCGCAAATTCATTCCTATTTATGGTAGCTACATAAAAGAAGATTCTTGATCTACAGCCAGGTGCACCAGTCATCAATCTGGATGGAATGAAAAATGACTTTCTCAAGAACATTAATAAAAGAAATGTGTTTCGTATGATTTGCTTTAGCCACCAATCTGAAGTACAAGATTAAGGATGTGAGTACTACTGCTCTTTCAGAAATATAAAACCACTTGGTTCAGAAACCTCCAACTAAACGTCTTCTAATGATCTTTTGTGATGAGAGCATACTCATATTGTGTATGGAATTTGAGTACCAACCAACCGATCAGAAGATTACGTGCTATTGTTTACACATGATTGATCTGATCGTGGCAAAAGCGCAAGCAATTGGGTATCCAAGTGTAAGGTAATCGTTCATTCCACCAGTGCATATATTTCCATTACAACTCCGAGTATAAGATATAATGTGCATTCCGTCGGTGCATATATTTCCATTACAACCACTGAAATGGAGCGGATGAACACAAGTGAACGCATTCTCTAGTAATCACCCTTACGGAGACTAGGAAAGTAAGCTTTTGGATGGCTCTCGAAGACATCCCCGAGAATGTATTCTCCCTTTCTCCCTTTCGGCCGGGGGGCTCTCGTGGTTCTTTTCTTGCTGTCTTTTACTCGGCTATGCATAACTATGGGTATTGGAAGGAATTCATGGAATCAGAGGCACATTCATTCTGGCGGTTCTTCTTCCCATGCGCAGCCTTACAGCTCGATGAGAACAGCAATCTAAGACACGAATGTGTCTCGATGGATACCCCGGATTGGAGTAGCGAAGACACTTAGGAACGAAGAACGGGATCAAAGCACTAAGCGGCTGTTCTTTTTCCCATTCCTGTTTTAATTCATAGTTATCTAGGTAGTTATCATAATCTAGTAGTTATATTATAATTTCAATAACTAACTCAATCATGATCTAGTAGTTATATGATGATTTCAATAACTACCACAATCAGATAGTTATAGGGTAGTTTCAATAATTATCTCAATCATTGGTGATAGGGGAGTGACATAATTACCATTAGGTCCTATAAATATGACCATAGTTCCTAAAGCAAGATATATAGAGAGTCTATGCACTTAAGAATATCTTGCAAGTGTTCTTGTCAATCCTCCTGTTTTAAATATCGAAAGGATTCCTTATAATTGCATTATAGTATTCTGTTTTATCATTTCCTTGCTCCTTCATTTGTGGTATCAGAGCCTAATTATAATCTAAACTGGGCATTATGATTTTCAATGGTAATTCCATGTCGCAACCCCTTATTCTCATCTTCTCGGGCAAATGCTATGAATAAAAAGGACTCAAATGTTAGGATCAAGAGCACTAAGAGGGGGGGGGGTGAATTAGTGCAGCGGAAATCTTTCACTATTAAAATCGAAAGCTGCGTTCGTTTGATAAAAACAATTTCGATGTAAAAGCCCGATTCTAATATTACTTTAACTTAAGATTAAGCGAGATGACATTAAAGTAAATCTACGAAGGCAGTTTGCAGTTTATGATGAAAATCAGAATGCAAGCGCAAACTGAAATGCGACGTTCGTACGATAAAACCGGTTTACGTCTAAATGCCAATTTTGAAGATACTGAACTTTGAGATACGTTTTATAAATGCGCAGAAGGCAGTTTGCAGTTATGATTGAAATCAAAATGCAAACGTAAACTGAAATGTAATGATCGTACAAAAAAGCCGATTTACGTCTAAACGCAGATTCGGAAAGCTCTGAACTTAGAAACTCGTTCGTAAAAGCGCAGAAGGCAGTAGCTATTTAGGAGATTTACAGTAAAGATAAAATGCTCAAAGTAAATGCAAACCGAGATTTAGAGTGGTTCGGTCAATCTTGACCTACTCTACTTTTGGCTTCCTCCACCGACGAGGTCACTGACGTCAACTAGAGGCCTTCCTTCAATAGGCGAAGGCCAACCACCCTTTTACAGTTTCACTCCTTTTGATGGGCTTAGGAGACAACCCTTACAGAAATTTTCTCTCCTCTCTTTACAACTCAAAACTTTGAAGAACAGAGGGAGAAGAACTTTTGGCCTTTACAATAATTTTGAGCTCTAAGAATCACAGAAAGGATCAAGATTTCGGTGTAAGTTCATGCCCTTTCAGTGCTGAATGGGTGGGGTATTTATAGGCCCCAACCCAGTTCAAATTTGGAGCTCAAAACTGTCAATTCCCGGAATTCCGGGATCAGGCGGTTGCACCTCCTGACTGGGGCAGTTGCACCGCCTGGCAGAGCTCGAAGACTGAGCCTCTAGGCGGTGCCACCTCTGTTAGGGGCGGTTGCACCTCTCTGCCAGAGCTCGAAGATCGAGCTCAAGCGGTTGCACCTCCTGACTAGGGCGGTTGCACCGCTTGCCAGAGCTCGAAGACTGAGCTCAGGCGGTGCTACCTCCTGTCAGGAGAGGTTGCACTGCCCAGTCTCGCTCGGAGACTGAGCCCAGGCGGTGCTACCTCCTGGCTTGGGCGGTTGCACCTCCCACAGCAATCAGGGTCCGAATGGGTAGATCCATTCGGCCCAATTTGGGTTTTTCAGGGGCCCAATTGCCCCAAGATTAAGCTAATGGGATCACCTCCCATTTCCAATTTAATCATTGTGCTAACTACGATAAATCCTAAGACAATTTCTGTAGCTTGCTCCGGTGCGTCAATCGCTTCTTCCGGCGAACTTCCGTCGATCATCCGATGAACCCTCAGTGATGCTTCTACGGACTTCCGGCAAACTCCTGGACTTGCGACGATCCACTTGGCGAGTTCCGACGAGCTTCTTTGGCAAGCTTATGGACTTCTCGGATTTGTTTCCGTAGAACCTCCGACGACTATCTGAACTTCCGTCGAACTCTCGAACTCCCAACGTAATCATTGTCTTGACTCCGGCGCGACTCCTACTGCATGTCTTACTTCCATCTTAGTTAATCCCGCACACTTAAAACAAAACTTCGATCGAGACAATTAATCATAAGCAATTAACCAAGTTGTCCGGCATGTCATTGGTCCCTCGACGCTTCGTCCGATTCTTCGGCGCATCGTCCTTTCCTGCGGCCTATTGCCCAATCGGCCAGTTGGCTCCGCAACTCCGATATCCTTGGCGCAATACCCGCTCTTCTTGGCCTGATGCCCGAGTCCACGGCCCGAAGCCTTCTGTCGATACGTCGACCGATCCACCGGCCCGACGTCCAATCTTCTGACATGTTCCTCCGGCACAACATGATTTTCCTGCTTTAATTGTCTCATCCTGATCGAGGCATCCTGCGTCACTCAAAACGCAGATTAAATCATAAACATATATCAAGTAGTTTCATCATCAAAATACGAGATTCAACAATCTCCCCCTTTTTGATGATGACAACCACTTGATGACTGAGTTAAACTTAACTCTCGGAGTTTAAACAAACTCCCCCTATCAATATGCCATATTGATAAAACCTTGAATTCAAACTGAATTCAAGTCATTGCAATATTCATCATGAATACTTGCAACACGTCATCATGAACTTATGCATAAACTTATGCATAACATCATACTTCTCCCCCTTTGTCATCAACAAAAAAGAGAAGTTCCACAATTAAGCGTTTGTGATATTGGTTCAACTCATTGCATGAAAAACATAATATCAAGTTTTATCATCATGCAAGTTTGCTATTATCAAATATCAACATGTAAAATTGCGATGTAAGCTTTTGATATCATAACGCAAACATTTCAAGTGTTTATCAATTGTAGCATTTCATCACATGGTAAGATATCAACGCGTAAAATTACGATACAAGTTCTTGACATCTTAACACATGATGCAGACATGGCATAATGCAAATTTGGCAATCATAGCATCAGTGTCCATAGCATCAATTCATATATTTCTCCCCCTTTGTCGTCAACAAAAAGGAGAACGATATAAGCAAATTTTAAATATAAGTGCGATGCCATAAGCAGGTTCATGTCATTTTTCAACAAAAAGTAATAAGATACCAAATATTCAAACATTTCAAGGAAAACATGACATGGAGATAGCTTTGAAAACTTCTTCCATTTTATTTGTTATTTTCTTTTTGCATGGAGGAAAGCTATTTCTAAGCTTACTCGAATGAAGTTAAAATCGATAAGATATTAAAGCACGCTTCATTTTTACAAGTATCAA